AAACATTTGTGTGTGGGCTCCGGCGAAGTAGACGATCACGCTTGACGAGTATCTTTTGGAAGCTACATGGACGTTCATTTGGCTAAAGTGTGTATGATGTACTTTTAATGTATCTTTGAATAGTAAGGTGAGAAATGTTAAGAAATTTTAAAATTGTCTCATGGGATGTATATGAAACGTGTATTTTAATTATTTAATATTGATACTCGCTTTTGAGTAAACATGAGTTGAACATGAGCTACTCTTATTATGGTGAATTTAATATAATGTAATACTGAAAACACTTGCTACTATTCAACACAAATGCTCACTTCCATCCACTTGAAAATGAAAAAAACGTGTTAGGATTTCTATGCATAGGATTTCTATGCGTAGGCTACATTAAGTGATATCCCATAAAAATGAAAGACCTTTACCCAAAATTTTTGTAGAGAAGATTACATAAAACATTAAACAACTGTACTTGATAATTAAAATGCCGTCATGCAATCTGCTATTATTGTAGAATAATCTAGAACAGGTTTGAACAGTGTGGCTGTTGTAGTTTATGAGCTACAGCTGTTCCATCATTGGCAAGATGCTGAAAAAAACGCATAAATCAGGCTTTGTTGAAGTTTCACAAATCAGGGAAAGGTTTCACAAATCCCAGACAAGGTTGTATGCAATCTGCTATTATTGTAGAATCTAGAACAGGTGTGAACACGGTGGCTGTTGTAGTCTTTTAACTAGAGCAGATTAAAGATGGTCAGAGTAGAGAAAAATTGGGTGTAATGGCCCTTTAGCCGTTTCCCGAATACTTCAGCCTCGTTGCAGCAGGCTGATGTAAGACTATATTGGGCTCACTTCTGGCTGGCTGCTGTTCTTCCAGTTCGTCCTTCTGTGACGGCGTTGGTGCTACAGCGTCTTCCGCCGCATCTTCAGGTCGTGCCTCCTTCGGGTTTTGCTCGGGCCCGACCTCTGGCTCTGCTGACTCGAGCAGGTTCACAGCTGTCGGACGGCTGCTCGAGCAGCCCGACAGAAACTTCTGTAAGCCCCCCCACCACCACCCACCCCCCCACCCCGCTGTCTCTTCTTTTGTTCCTCTTCTTTTTTTTTTAACGTTTTGTCGCACCCAAAAGCATCGTGAAAGTTAGCCTACTCAAAAACACCTGCTAGCTTATCCGGGTCCGGGTCGCGGGGGCAACTAGGGAGCTCCAGGCCGTCCTCTCCCCGGCCTTGTCCACCAGCTCCTCCGGCAGGACCCCAAGGCGTTCCCGGACCAGATTGGAGATGTAACCTCTCCAACGTGTCCTGGGTCGACCCGGGGGCCTTCTGCCGGCAGGACATGCCCGAAACACCTCCCTGGGGAGGCGTCCAGGAGGCATCCTGACCAGATGCCCAAACCACCTCAACTGGCTCCTTTCGATCCGGAGGAGCAGCGGTTCTACTCCGAGTCCCTCCCGAATGTCCGAGCTCCTCACCCTATCTCTAAGGCTGAGCCCGGCCACCCTACGGAGGAAACTCATTTCGGCCGCTTGTATCCGCGATCTCGTTCTTTCGGTCATTACCCAAAGCTCATGACCATAGGTGAAGATTGGGACGTAGATCGACCGGTAAATCGAGAGCCTGGCTTTCTGGCTCAGCTCCCTCTTCCCCACGACAGATCGGCTCAGCGTCCGCATCACTGCAGACGCCGAACCAATCCGCCTGTCGATCTCCCGATCCCTCCTACCCTCACTCGTGAACAAGACCCCGAGATACTTAAACTCCTCCACTTGAGGTAGGACCTCTCCCCCGACCCGGAGGTGGCAAGCCACCCTTTTCCGGTCGAGAACCATGGTCTCAGATTTGGAGGTGCTGATCCTCATCCCAGCCGCTTCACATTCGGCCGCGAACCTACCCAGCAAGAGCTGAAGGTCAGAGCTGGATGAAGCTAGGAGGATCACATCATCCGCAAAAAGCAGAGACGAGATTCTCCTGCCACCAAACTCGACACACTCCACACCACGGCTGCGTCTAGAAAATCTGTCCATAAAAGTGATGAACAGAACCGGTGACAAAGGGCAGCCCTGGCGTAGTCCAACCCTCACTGGGAACAGGTCCGACTTACTACCGGCTATGCGGACCAAACTCACGCTCCTCTGGTAAAGGGACTGAATGGCCCTTAACAGAAAGCCACCCACCCCATACTCCAGGAGCGTCCCCCACAGGGTGCCCCTGGGGACACGGTCATTAGCCTTCTCCAAATCCACAAAGCACATGTGGATTGGTTGGGCAAACTCCCATGCCCCCTCCATCACCCTTGCAAGGGTATAGAGCTGGTCCACACGGCCAGGACGAAAACCACATTGCTCCTCCTCTATCTGAGATTCAACTATCGATCGGACCCTCCTCTCCAGTACCTTGGCGTAGACCTTTCCAGGGAGGCTGAGGAGTGTGATCCCCCTATAGTTGGAACACACCCTCAGGTCACCCTTCTTAAAGAGGTGGACCACCACCCCGGTCTGCCACTCCCTAGGAACTGCCCCCGATGACCACGCAATGTTGTAGAGACGTGCCAACCATGACAGCCCTACAACATCCATAGCCTTGAGATACTCAGGACGAACCTCATCTGCCCCCGGGGCTCCGCCGCTGTGTAGTTGTTTGACTACCTCAGCAACTTCTGCCCCCGAGATCGGACAGTCCATCCCCAGGCCTCCCAGCTCTGGTTCCTCCTCGGAATGCGCATTGGTGGGATTGAGGAGCTCCTCAAAGTATTCCTTCCACCGTCCGACTATAGCCTCAGTTGACGTCAGCAGCTCCCCATCCCCACTGTAAACAGTGTGAGCGAGTTGCTGCCTTCCTCTCCTGAGGCGCCGGACAGTTTGCCAGAACCTCTTTGGAGCCGATCGATAGTCTTTCTCCATGGCCTCACCAAACTCCTCCCACGCCCGAGATTTTGCCTCGGCAACTGCCACTGCTGCACCCCGCTTGGCTATCCGGTACCTGTCTGCTGCCTCCGGAGACCCACAGACCAGCCACGCCCTGTAGGCCTCCTTCTTCAAACTAACGGCTCCCCGAACCTCTGGTGTCCACCAGCGGGTACGGGGGTTGCCACCACGACTGGCACCGGCCACCTTACGACCACAGCTAGCAACAGCCGCCTCGACAATCGCAGAGTGGAACAAGGCCCACTCGGACTCAATGTCCCCCACTGCTCTCGGGACGTGGTCAAAGCTCTGCCGGAGGTGGGAGTTGAAGACCGTCTTGACAGGTTCTTCTGCCAGGCGTTCCCAGCAGACCCTCACTATACGTTTGGGTCTGCCAGGTCTACGCGGCATGTTCCCTTGCCATCTGATCCAACTCACCACCAGGTGGTGATCAGTTGACAGCTCCGCCCCTCTCTTCACTCGGGTGTCCAAAACATACGGCCGCAGGTCAGATGATACGACTACAAAATCTATCATCGACCTGTGACCTAGGCTGCCCTGGTACCAAGTGTACCGGTGGGCATCCTTATGTTCGAACATGGTGTTCGTTATGGCCAAACTGCGGCTTGCACAGAAGTCCAATAACAAAACACCGCTCGAGTTCAGATTAGGTGGGCCGTTCCTCCCAATCACACCCCTCCAGGTCAAGCTGTCATTGCCCACGTGAGCATTGAAGTCCCCCAGCAGGACAATGGAGTCCCCTGATGGAGCACTATCTAGCACTCGTCCCAGGGACTCCAAAAAGGGTGGGTACTCTGAACTGATATTTGGCCCATAAGCACAAACAACAGTCAGGACCCGTTCCCCGACCCGAAGGCGCAAGGAAGCTACCCTCTTGTCCCCCGGGGTAAACCCCAACACACAGGCAGAGAGTCTCGGGGCTAACAAAAAGCCAACCCCAGCCCTCCGCCTCTCACCCGGAGCAACTCCAGCAAAGTAGAGTGTCCAACCCCTCTCCAGGTCTCGGGTTCCAGAGCCAATGCAATGTGTCGAGGTGAGTCCGACTATATCTAGCCGGTACCGCTCAACCTCTGCCACAAGCTCCGGCTCCTTCCCCGCCAGCGAGGTGACGTTCCATGTCCCAAAAACTAGTTTTCTTGTCCGGGGATTGGACCGCCAAGGCTCCCGCCTTGGTCTGCCACCCAATTCGCATTGCACCGGACCCTTCATGTTCCTCCTGCGGGTGGTGGGTCCACAGTTGGACGAGCCCATGTATCCGGTTCGGGCTGGGCCCGGCCGGACCCCATGGGCAAAAGCCCGGTCACCAGGCGCTCGTTCACGGGCCCCAACCCCAGGCCTGGCTCCAGGGTAGGACCCCGGTAACCCTCCGGGCCGGGTACTCCGACTCTTCGTTTTAACCGCCATGAAAGATCCTTCGAACCGTTCTTTGTCTCACCCTTCACCTAAGACCAATTTGTCATGGGAGACCCTACCAGGGGCACTAAGTGCCCCAGACAACATAGCTCCTAGGATCATTAGGGCACTCAAACTCCTCCACCACGATAAGGTGACGGTTCAAGGAGGAGTTCTTTCAGGATCATAAAGTATATTCCCAGTTGAATCTTTAACACCAGATACGGTAGTTTTCTCTATTTTTTTTAACTGGTTAGCTACAAATTTACCTGATTCATTACCATGTTCAAAGTTTTCAATTTGTAGTCTTTGTGCTAAAAATTGTGTCTTTTTATCAATAGTTCCATGAAGTTCTAATTTAGCTTTACATAATTTACTCAATAACTCTTCTTCTGTGGATGCCTCTAAAGACTTAATGATTTCTTCTAACTCCTGAATACGTTTGCTTTCTGTTTTTTTCTTCTTTTCTTATTGTCCAGTATATGTGTCATTGATTTTACTCCATTAAATGTAATATTAGTAAAATAAACACTTTTTTACTGGTAAGAAACCACTGTGCTACTCATTTTAAATAAATCCCAGTATATTGATCTGGGCACCAGAAGATTGAAGGATGTGGGAGGATAAACAAATGAGATCATTTCTTAATATTGTACCATTTCTGTTGCATTAAAGGAGAGTCAGAAAAACATTTTGCCCTTTGTAATGGTTTATTGAAGTATTCAAGCAAACAGCTGAGATAAAGCTGCATTTCGCTGCAGCTCTTTCTAAACATTTAATCACAACCAACTCATCATAGCAGCAGCACTTATGAAATGATAAAAACCTCTCTTATTCTGGAATATTTTCAGATGTTTTCATTTTTGGTGTTCTGTGAAATAATGTCATAATAATATTTAATGTAGATATGATGATCTCCAATAATTTCATTTTTGTCAGGTATATTTTCTTTTTTTTTCTTAGCAGAGTGGCTGTCTAAACCTCATTGAAGAAAATGGGTTGCATTTTGATGAAAAAATAAATCACATTTATGATTCCAACATATTATTTGGACTTCATATTATTCCAACATATTATTCCAACATATTGGAGGGACTTCAGTTGTTACCTTTTTCACACCAAGTTTGCAGGTATGAGAGAAATACCAAAGTAGTTCATCTAAATTAAATTTGAGTCATAATCTCAAATAAATCTAAGGTGCATGTACAGTTTTGTTTCCAATAAACTGCAGAATCATATAGAAGATAAGAATAAAGCCTGATCAGTCTGGCTTGGGTCTCAAAGAAAACCTTCCAGTCCGGAAGGTTCATCAAAGAAAATGTTCAGTCAGTAAAACAACCTTAACGAAGGTGAAAAAGGACTAAAAGTCAATAAACAACAGACAAATGTCCAGAATAATTTGTAATGATGACAAAAATAATATTCCACATTCAGATCAAACAGGATATTTTAAAAATAATTTCACAATAAAATCAGACCAGAATCAGTTTTACAAATCAGACCTTCTTAGCACAACTATAATTAAAAGGAATGAATTAAACAATTTTCTTAAAACAGATTTTTTTTTAAAGTAAATTAAAATGAAGAATTAGGTTAAACCTGCCTGTCAACACTGTAAAGCTTACATAGAAACATTTGGTTCTTCACAGATCCCTGCAGCCTGACTTTCTACAAAAAAAAACGATCTAATTTAAAGCATAATGCCTGTGCAGCAGTCAAACTCAGATATTTCCTAGGTGTCTTCTCTCAGCATTCAGATTAGGACTTTGTTTATTCAGTTTGGACAAAACATTTCCAACCTAAATGAGGATGTCGATAATGAACAAGCAGCTGGGCTAAAAGAAAAACCAGCAGGCACTTATAGGAACATCTAAACAGGCAGAGCTGGTCTGGGAGCTGTTTGAATGTCTGAAAGGACTAGGTGTCCAAGCGGTCTGTGGACAGAAGTCCAGGTGGTTCTTGGACAGACATTCGGGTGGTCTGTAGACAGACGTCCGGGTGGTCTGTGGACAGATGTCCAAGTGGTCTGTAGACAGACGTCCTGGTGGTCTATGGACAAATGTCCTAGTGGTCTGTAGACAGACGTTCGGGTGGTCTGTAGACAGACGTTCGGGTGGTCTGTAGACAGACGTCATGGTGGTCTCTGGACTGTTGTCCTATTCACTGAAGCTGAATTTCAGACCAGAGCTATCTGTGACTGGTGATGAAGGACCTGCACTGGAGACGGTGCTGGATGGTATGCTGCCATCTTCACAGGAGAAAAACACAAGTGGGTTGGTCTTCTGTTTATCTATTCTCTGGTGCATCACTTACACATTTTCATAAAGACAACAATTCTACTAGAACTGCATTCTTCAGCTTTGTTGGTGTGGATCAGAACAAAGAAATGAAGCTCCTAGGTAACCTGTGCAGTAATCCTTCTGTCTAATCAGCATCCTGAAATACCACACCTGTGAGGTAAAGGGTATCTCTGGGGTTGACATAGTGAAATTTAAAGGAGTCATCACCTGAATTTTCACTTTTCCACTTGAACAAGTGTACATAATGGCTTCCTAATGATTTTTCACTGGCCGGAAAGTCGATATTTAACATTGGATCGTTTTTTACTCTTGGTTTCTTCAACCAGCCCACGTGCACCCCACAAGCATGCGCACTCATGCACGAGATCTTGAGTTCTGACTGTCGTCACAAAGGCAGGATGCAACGCCGCTATACTGCTCTGCTTCCAGAAAAGACTGCCAGAAAAGATGGTTCAACTTTCATTTTGAAACTAGTTGTCTTTGAAAATATATTAATAATGGTATTTTAAAATGTCAGAACTTTATCCAACTAAGGTCGTTTCAGCTGTCATCAAGCATCCAAATGTTTGCTGGGTTTTAACATCATTTTCAGTGATAGAAATATTTTCAGTTCGATCATGTCAAAGGGATAGCTCAACTAGTAAGACATATGACTTACAAGCGGAGAACCCTCAAGGTTGGGATATCAGATTGTTGATTGGAGTTCTTTTTTCCCCATGTTATTTTTTTTACAGTAATAAGATGGCCAAATTTTTATTTTTAAAAGTTTAAATGAGACATGCCGAAGATATTGAATTCATGGCCAGAAAATACGTTGGATAAACTTTCATTTTGGAACTATTTTTTCAACTATGACGGGATGCATCATATGGAATCGTAGTATGTCCAAGGAAGGTCCCATCTTTCTCGCCGTGCTAAGTTTACAGTTTCTTTACAAAACTCCCTAAAACAGCTTTCTGTTGGTGGCGGTGGCAGGCGAACAGTCAGCACTTAGCAAGGGAAGATGCCGGTTTGCTGCTAAATCAATCGTCTCTCCAGTCAATCGTAGTAGAGCCCTTCTAGCCAATCAGAGGCAAGAAAGATGGGATCTTCCTTGGACATCCTACAATTCCAAATGACACGTCCTGCACAGCCGAAATATCACGTGTGCTCACGGCAAAAGACGTCCTTTACAAAATGGGTCAGAAAAGCACTTTCTAATTTATTTTTCCAACACAAATTATTTTTATGGCCTAAAAGACTGATATGATGTAGATATCCATGGTAGTAACAGGTGATGACTCCTTTAATATCTTTAACCCTAACCCACAATTCATTTGTATGCTGATGACACTATTTTATACTGTTCTAAAGCTAACAATTTGGAAATTTCAGGAGACCCTTCAACTTAATTTTGACAAGATATAGCATTGGCTTGCTCAGAATAAACTTCTTAACAAATCTAAATCATATTCAGTGCTCTTCCAGACAAATTTCTAACCATGTTGTAAATGATGGCCTGAACTTACTTGTTTTGGACTCTTCAAACATGCTCTCCTCTGATAAACTTAAATACTTAGGGGTTTAGTTAGACCTGGATTCATCCTTTAAAATCCATACCGAGAAAATCTGTCATAAAGTTACAGGCTGCTTGAAAACCCAATATCAATCCATCAATTGTTGTGGCCTTTCAGTAAGGAAGTATTGTGACCCAACTTCTGTTTCCGATTTTGGGTTATGCTGATATCATCTAACAGACCTCTACAGCTGCATGTCTTCAATCCCTTGATATCATATTCAATAGCTTATGGCGTTTTGTTCTACGTCACCCTTTTAGAACACACCACTGATCATCTTGCATGGCTTTCTTTAAATGCCAGGCGACAATTTTACTAGTTTTTATTTATTTTTAATGGATATTCTTTGATTTTCCATCTTACCTGAAAACATTATTAATATCCTTCAACTCTGTGTATGATTCCAGGATCAATGATCAGCTTTATTTTGTTATTCCTCGTTTTAGAGAAACGTACCTTTTATGTTAAAGCTCCTCGGGACTGGAACATGCTACCTGCTCATATAAGATCTAGTTCCTCTTTCTCCTTTTTAAAAACTCTCTCTATAAGTACGTGAAACCAATCTGTAATTGTTTTGAAGCCGCTGTCTGACCTTTTTTTGTCAAAATTTGTGGATGAGAAAAACCTTTGACTGAGACATTCAGTATTGCGCTTCCCCGTTCTAGCACTAGATGCTGTGCGTACGCACGGTCAGAGATGTTCTTGAATTTAGGAACGTTTCTATGCCCACGTACAAAATGATAAATACCACATAATGTGTAGAATTGTTCCTACGTACGAAATATTCACAGTTCTGTGAATAACGTTTGATAAATGAGGCCCCTGGTATGAGTCTGAGTCTGATGTTGATCAGAAAAACAGTTAAATGTTCTGGGCGACAGTAACGTCCTATCTGTGCTTATTGCTCCTTAAAGGGGACAAAGAATGCAGTTTATCGTCAATCTAAAACTCTGCTTTGAATCTTCCAGAAGCATAAGAAATGTTCTTTTGGCTTTCATCTGTCCCAGGAAAGACGGGAAGAGATAAATGCATGGAGAACCATTTCAAGGTCATGTTTTGACACCAACCTTCTCAGTTTGGAGATATTTCTTATGTGATAAAAACAGTTTCGGACCAATGTTTTTGAGTGGCCTTCAAGAGACATTGATTGGCCAAAAACAAACAAACATTTTCAAGTTTGACCTGACGGCAGAAGATAAATGAGCAAGTTTTAGACTAATCAGGGGAACCATGCTCTCAGGGGCAATGATCAGACATTCAGTCTTTTCAGAGTTTAACTGAAGGAAGTTATTTTCTAGCCAGCTGGTGATCCCTGATAGACACTCTAGTAATTCAGTTTATAGATCTCAGAATCCTTAAAAGAGCAGTACAGCTGAATATCATCTGCATATAGGTGATAAGAGACATTATGAAAAGACTCAAGTATCTGTCCAAGAGGGTGTATGTACAGTAGAAACAACAGTGGACCCAAAACAGAGCCTTGGTGTACCCCACAGAACAGATGGGTAGAATCTGACATGATTTGGTTTCTACAGACACTGTAACTTCTGTTAGAAAGGTACGATCTAAACCAGTTTAGAACAGTTCCAGAGATCCCCACCGAGTCACTAAGTCTGGTAATTAAGGTGTTGTGATCAACAGTGTCAGAAGCTGCAGAAAATCTAATAATACTAACAATGTGAACTCCCCGTTGTCTGCAGCCACCATGATGTCACTGGGAACTTTAAGCAAAGCTGTTTCTGTTGAATGCTTTTTACCAAAACCAGATTGGAATTTATCAAAACTGTTGTGTAGTTCCAGAAAAGTAATCAGCTGATCTGCCACAACCTTTTCCAATATTTTAGAGATAAAGGGTCATTTAGAAATGGGTCTGTCATTTTTTGGCTGAGATGAGTTCAAACTTGGTTTTTTAAGGATAGGTTCAATATCTGCATATTTGAAAACTGATGGTACAGAGCCAGATTGTAAAGATAGATTATTAAACTCCACAATGCATGGGCCAATTTGGTCAAAAACCTTATAAGCAAAGTGGTTGGGAGAAAATGGCATGAAGGTTTCATGTTTTTTGAATGAGACAAATGTCCTGGAAATTTACAGGACTAAAGAAAGACCATGATTGGGAGGACAATAGATGGATGGGAGAATAAGAAGCGGATGGGGTTGAGATACTTACCCTGATATTTCAGATTTTTTTCTGTGATTTTTGACCTTAACAGGGCATCTTTATCATTGATCAACCTTGGTTACCTGCTGAAGGCAGGCCAGTGCCTGTTTTAACCATGACTGTTGATATATTAACACAAATATGCACATATCTAGATTGAAAAAACTGGAGTTGACTTCCTGAGCAGGTAACTAGTTCAATAATACCTCTGAGCACAATCTCCATTGTTAGGGTTAGATAATCCAGATTCTTAAACTCTGAGTATGTTGAACATGCTTTGCAGTGTGCTAGGAGACTTACGCCACAGAGGCTGGTTCCGTGGTTGGAGTGAAGCCTCAGATCCAGAGGAGGACAGAGGCTGCTGAGGGCTATCCAGACACGTCTGACTCTCCGAGTTAAACAAACCAGAAAGTGCTGAAATGTTAAAAAATAAAATACAATAAAAAATATAAAAAAACATTAGATACTGTCTCGCTAAAGCAGTATAAACTTGGTTTTGTTCATAGGTTGGTTGTTTTCAGAACTTGGTGAGAAAATAAGCTGTTCTATAGGGAGTCTAAGTTACACCCACCTACTTCCGGACCACGGGTCCCCGAAAGAACGAAAAACCGAATGTAAGTCAGCGGGGCTAAAAATGCTATTTTCTAATCCCGCTTGTTTTGTGCCATGGATTTCACATATGATGTCAGTGAATTTTAAAGACACATTTTGATACCAAGAACGTGCTTATTTTCGAACAGGGGGAAACGTTATTTTAGGTTTTGTGTGAAAATAAGTCCCGGACTACAAATGTGCTTCACGAAAGTGACGTCATCGAACCAGACACGGAGAAAACTGAGGGAAAAGGGCTGTAAGTTCAGCAAACTTCCCACAGGAGGAAAGAACCACCATAAATCTGGTCATGTGGTAAGTAGCAGCTACGCTAGGGGGGAGGAGATTATGTGGTGATGTCATATATGCCACGTGCTGATTTCTGGTTTGTAGTCATGCTAATTACAAACTTTACAAGCTAATAAATCTCAAAGTACGTGACTGGAGTGGTCGAAACACCCATCATTACTTTTCATTTAAATTGCAGTACAACATATGTGCGATCCAGGGTGTAAGGCAAAGCGGATTAGAAAATAACGTTTTTAGACCCGTTGACTTGCATTAATTTTTTCTTCTTCCGGGGACCCGTGAGTTGACCAGATAGGGAGGAGACTTAGGCTCCCTTTAGGAAGGACTATTAGAACCCAAATTGGACCTAATTTTTAAGGCTGAGATTAGAACTGGATTAAACTGGACTACATACAGGTATGATTTAGTGTTGCTATTTGTGTCATAAGATGAATTTCGTGTCTAATGGGAAGATACAAAACAACCATAAAAAACAGATGAACATTAAATACTTTTTGGAATAAAATTAATTATTTAATTATTGCATTAAACAGACTTCCTACAGAAGAGATTTTGAACATAGCTGTAGGTGTTGTGCAGGTTTATTGTTCTGGGAATAACAATTATAATGCTGATGCAGCATACCAGCTTCATTTAACAATGACCATAAAGCAGCTCAAAAACTATTTACTGAAGAAATGTTTTCCCTTTACAAAAAACAAACTTATCTAAATACAAATTCAGCCATCAAACATAGTCAGACCTCAGCGGCAAGTTTGAGTGGATTAAAGATTTGATTTTGGAACAAACTGCTGACCATAGATGAAGAAACCTACTCTTCATCATCCCTGCTCTCTGTGATTGGAGCTATGATGTGTTTTGTCTGAGGTTTGTTAGAACAATCAGCTGAACTAACTAAACATGCTTGTCTGTGGTTGTGTGGCTCCAGCATCATGTAACATAACACTGCTCTCAATATGAACACCCACCTTTCATAGTTTTAGCCTGAGCCTCACAGCTGTTCTCACACACTTTGCTGAGGAATTCCTCCACCTGCTTCAAGGAGAGCAGGTTGTGTAGCGTTTCCAGTGGGTAGATAGAGGGCACCATGGAGCAGCCTTCAAACCCTACCACCCAGACAGGGGGAGAGAGAGAGAGAGAGACAGAGACAGCCTCATCAGCTGCATCGTCATCTGGCTGACAGCAGATTAGACGTTGTTGTTTACATAATATTTTGTACCTTTTTAAGCATAAAATGAATGGGGTGTATTGCTGAATTGTCTCCTATTGTCAATGTATGACCAATCATAGTTGTTTATCTGTGTGCATACGCTATAACTGGTAATCGGTTGCTGTCTAGTTGACTTAGGAATAAATAAATAAATAAAATCCCTCTCCTTATTGTTTATTCAATGACTAGAAAGTCCTTTTACTAATCAGTTTAGAAATGATTCATACAAATCTGATGCAACATTAGCAAACACAAGCACTCACTGGCCACTTTACCTGTCCAACTGCTCGTTAATGCAAATGACTAATCAGCCAGTCACATGGTGGCAACTCAATGCATTTTGGCATGTTGACATGGTCAAGACAATCAGCTGCAGTTCAAATCAAGCTTCAGAATGGGGAAGTAAGATGATTTAATGCCACTTACACACTAACATCCACTCCACTCTACTCCGCACTGCCAGGCTCAACCAGGCCGTGTTCGTTCCACACTGCCTTAGGAATGCGGACGTGATTGAGCACATGGGCGTTCTCCAAAGTTGGTGCGAAAAATAAATATCAGTGATGTCATGAGCGCATCTCAGAGTACTCCCAACCCAGTCCAGACGGAGTAGAGCCGATGCTAGTGTTAAGTGTCATAAGTGACTTTGACGGTGGCATTGTTGTTGGTGCCAGACGGGCTGGTCTGAGAATTTCAGAAACTCCTGGGATTGTCACGCACAACCATCTCTAGGGTTTGCAGAGAATGGTCAAAACAAGGGAAAACACAGACAATAGAAGATTGGAAAAACGTTGCCTGGTCTGATGAGTCTTGATTTCTGCTGTGACATTTATATGGTAGAGTGAGAAATTGGCGCAAACAACATGAAAGTATAAATCCATCCTGCCTTGTATCAAAGGCTCAGGCTGCTGGTGGTGATGTAATGGTTTGGGGGACATTTTCTTGGCACACTTTGGGTCCCTTAGTACTAACTGATATTCGTTACAAAGCCACAGCCTATCTGTGTATTGTTGCTGACTACATGCATCCCTTCGTGACCACCACGTACCCATTTTCTGATGGCCACTTCCGGGAGGATAATGCACCATGTCATGAAGCTCAAATGATCTCAGACTGGTTTCTCTTCAAACTGGTTTCTTGAACATGACAACTCATGAGTTCACTGTACTCAAATGGCCCTCACAGTCACCAGATCTCAGTCCAATGAAGCACGTTTGGGATGTGGTGGAACAGGAGATTTGCATTTTGGATGTGCAGCCGGCCAATCTCCAGCAACTGTGTGATGCTATCATGTCAGTATGGACCAAGACCTCTGACAAATGTTTACAGTACTTTTAAATATTAAGATTAAGGCATTTCTGAAAGCGAAAGGGGTTCAACCCAGTACTAGTAAGGTGATGAATAAAGTGGCAAGTGCGTGTAATTTTAAACATTATATGAGTCTTGAGTGAACTAATTTAAGTCTCGGCAGTTGCACATGCTGTTTCTGACAGACATTGATTCGTGGTAAGTCAGCTGGTTTTTCAGAACTTCTCCCACCTGGGTATTCTTTCTCCAGTCTCCCTTGATCCTTTGGTAGAGATGGAGGCCTTGCAAATGTTTTTAATTCTAAAACACAGTCACCAAATTCCAATCACTAAATCCTATCAGTTTGAACGGCAGCTGCTGGATATATAGCTGAGTTCTCCAGTGCTGTGTGCACGGATTTATCATTCTCCCAAATTTGATAAGGATTTTATCAGTAAGTTTTCAGATTTTATGGCTGGAATTGCTCTTAGAGGTGTCACGATGTGAGCTAGGAGGAGGTTTGGACCCAAAATGCAGAGAACCAGATGACACGAGGCGGGAGCGATTTATAAAGTAAAATCCCTTTATTTTGATGGGAACAACAATAATCCAAATGGGCAGGAAGCCAAAAACCAATGTCCTAAGATCCTGGAGACCCAAAACTCAAAATCCAAAAAGGATAGAAAGCCAAAAACATAAATCCAAAATCCAAATAAGTAAAATCCTTGAGACCTAGAGACTAAGAGCTCCTTTAAGAGCAGACCTGGAGATATCAAAACCTTGAGACGAGAGGGAACGAGAAAACGCTGACAACAAACAATGGACCGACCAATTATTGAGACACAGACAGGGTTTTATACACTGGGGAGGATGAGAGGGAGATGAGCTGCAGGTGTGTGAGGAGAGAGAGACCAGGTGAACTCAATTAACTAATCAGGGAGGAAACTAACATGACCTAAGAGTAAAACCTAAAGACAAGAAGAGCAGCAAGCATAACTAATATTCTAAGGGGGGGGGGGGGGGGGGGGAACCACAAACACCGGTGGGAAAAACACACTAAAGAGACTAAAAACATGAACAGCTGAAACTAAAGGACAATGACCTAAGAGTAAAACCTTATGACCAGAAGATCAGCAAACATAATATTCTAAGGGGGGAGCTGAAACTAAAGGAAAACACTACAGAAAGGAAAACTACAGGGGCGTGACTAAAGGGGACCACGGGAGCACTGGACCTGGGAGGGGGATACTTGAGGAGGGCAACCTAGAGGGCTGAAGATCTGGGGACAAATGAGGGACACAAGGAGACACATGAGGAAGATGCAGACAAGGGCACATAAGGGCGCTAGGAGACACAAAAGGAGAACCTAGAGAGGGATGGAGAACACAGGAAGACACATGAGGGGAGACGCAGACACAGACCATGACAAGAGGTTGAATATGGACCACGGACACTCTGGTGAACTCCAGTGTTAAGAAGCGGTATTGCAACAACAGAACTCATTTTCCAGCTGTCTGGGTGTTGGTTCACTGCTGATATGTTAAGTGACCAGCCAGCATTATGTCCAGTGACGAATCGTACAGGGTGAGGACCAATTTCTACTAATACCGTAAATCCTCTAATACAGGCCGGTATTCAATTAAAGGCCGGGTCTCCAATTCTGGCCGGTGTCTGAGTCAGCGGAGGTAAATAATGGCCGGTCTCTTATTGTGGCCGGATGGCATGTGGTAACAAGCAAGTACGAGCGACCCAGCGGCAGGGTTATAGTTCCCAAATCAACCAGCAGGAGGCAGTAGAGGTTCACGCAGACCTTTATTAGGCCTTTTCTTCAACGCTTTGTAACGCTACAGACACGATCCTCTATCACGCTCCTACCACACAGAGTCACGGTGTCAGTTAACCATGCTAATTCAACCCACTCCACAGAACACACATCACCTTCCCTGTGGCTTACATAACACTCACACAACACGCAAATCAGCACATAGGAACTAGCAGAACGATAGGAAACACATATAACACAATACCCAGAATGCACCTGGCTTACAACCCCAGCCAGGTCATTACACTATCAAGTTCAAAGAGAACGTGCTGATTATGCTGCAGAACACTCTGGAGAGCAGCAGTAGGGTGTGTATGAACTACAGTAATCCCTCGTTTATCGCGGTAGATGCGTTCCAGACCTGGCTGCGATAGGTGAAAATCCGCGAAGTAGGGACTCCCAGCATGCCCCTCGCGGGGATTCCCTTCACGTCGCACCTACGTCACAAACCGCGGCTATAAACGGAAGTTGCCTTTCCAGCTCACCACTCAGTCATCGTTTCTTCAGATCAACGATCAGAGTTTCCAACCTACCGATCAATCCAACGAACTATCAGCTCATAGTAAGTTATCTTACTTACTTCTGGAAAGCCCGGCATTTCCGTGTCACTTCGTTGACGCTCGAACGCTCGGGGGTTTCCTAGATCAGCCGGCGTTTCACCGACGCTCTCACTTCCGCGTCTGTGAAACCACGCTCCCTATTGAATTATCGTATGATCACATTCTCTTTTTGGGGGTAAAACTCAAGTGCCAGACCGTAGGTACTGACACGCGATCGTTCATGTCGGTTAATTTTTAATGTTTTCTGTCTTTTATTTGCGCCTGATGTGTATCGCTGCTGTGGAGCGGGGCGCATCAACTTGTCCTCCGACGCACAGATCACAGCAGGGAGCGCTCAGCTGTTTTCGCGGTCGGTAGATCTGCCTCCTGAGCACGGCCACAGTAACAATCAGGTGTCGCCACCTCAAAAACTAATTTAACACGCGATCGTTCATGTCAGTTCATTTCCTTTAATTTTTTCTGTCTTTTATTTGCGCCTGATGTGTTTCGCTGCATGCTGTGGAGCGGGACGCTGCGCGCATCACCTTGTCCTCCGACGCACTGATCACTGATACAACCGCCAAACAGCAAGCGCTCCGCTGTTTTTGCGGTCGGTAGATCTTTTAGAACTGCAGTTCAAAGGTAACTCATGAGGTGAATATGAACCCAGGCAGCAGTTTCTCTTTAGGATTGAGAGGAGATGCAGGAAGATAATAAACAGACAGGACAGAAAAATAGTCAAATAAAAACAAGTTAGTTTTTGTACCTGCTGTTGCAACAAACAGACACCATTGAAGGTCATCAGAAGTGAGGAACAGAAAATGAAATAATTATTTTAATGTTTAGAGCAGCAGGAACTCCGAGAGGCTGCAGGCGCATCAGTGAGTTTGCGGCCGCTGCGCAGGGGGAGGGGGGAGAGGGCTGAAGCAGGGGGAGGGGGGAGAGGGCTGAAGCAGGAACTACCGTTGTTAAAAGAAATGTGTTTAACTTTGAAAATGTGGGCGCACTTTTAATTGTCAAAAACTCCAGCGAACCATAGTTCATTTTGCTCAAATAGAAATAGAGGCCTGCCTCTAATACTGGCCCTCCTTCCAATAAAGGCCTGGAGCTTGATGAGCTTGAGTCAAATACAGGCCCGGGCCTGTATTAGAGGATTTACGGTACGTTTATTTTACAACAGTTTAACGTGAAAACATGTGATGGGCTCAGAATCAGCTGCTTGACTTGTCACGTCCGACATTTCACACA